GATGCTGCAGAAGCTCGGGCCGCAGCTGTCGTCTTTCCTTTTCTTCCTGGCTCTCCCCTTCTCTTCCCTTTCGTTTCCCCTGTCTTGCTTCTTCTCTTCCCCGTTGTATATCACACCGTCTCGGCCTCGTCCGTGACATTCACTCTTTTGTATCGTCTCGACTGGTCTTTTCACTTTCGTTCGGGGACCATTTCTTGCTTTCATGTTTTAACACCTACACACAATCACTCTTTCTGTGTGTCTTTAGTCGACTCTGTCGACGTTCCGTTCCTTTTTATTCTCACGCTCCTTTTTTATTTTCTTTGACTCCGGCAACGCCTCCCCGCGCAGACTTACCAAGATGGCGTCAACCTTTCTCTCGCAGGTGCTGGTCCTGCTCGCGGCCCTCGCCTTCCACCAGACCGCCGCCTCCCCGCTCTTCTACCGCTCGATTCTCGCTTCCCGCTCCAGCGTCGGCGTCGTCGGCAACGTCCGCATTCCGACCGGCTACAAGACAACGCTCTTCTCCGACGGATTTGCCGGCACCGCCGGTTCGCTGCCGTCGACCGACCGCTGGACCATCGACACCGGCACCGCCTACCCCGGCGGCTCCTCCCACTGGGGCACCGGCGAGGTCGAGACGTACACCAAGTCTGCGTCCAACCTGCAAATCACATCGTCCGGCACCCTGCTCATCACGCCCGTCAAGACGACGGTGAGCGGCAAGACGACCTGGACGTCGGGCCGCATCGAGACCGTCAAGGCCTGGGACTTTTCGTGCGCCGTCGGCAAGAAGGTGCGCATCGAGTCGCGCCTCAAGCTGGGCGCCAACTCGGCCGCGTCGCAGCTCGGCATCTGGGCCGCCTTCTGGTCGCTGGGCTCCGCCTACCGCGGCAACTACAACAACTGGCCGGCCGTCGGCGAGGTCGACATTCTCGAGTCCATCAACGGCCAGGCCAAGGCGTACCAGACCGTGCACTGCGGCACAGCCAACGGCGGCCCCTGCAAGGAGCCGACGGGCATCTCGAGCACGTACGGCTTCGCGCGCAACGCCTGGTACACGGTGGCGGTCGTCATCGACCGGTCCACGTCCACGTCGGCATCGACCTGGAAGTCGGAGACCATCACGTGGCTGCTCAACGAGAGGGTCGTCTTCACGGTCAAGGCGTCGACCGTCAACAACCAGGCCGCCTGGGTCGCCCTGGCCCAGAACACCAAGTATCTGCTGTTCAACGTGGCCGTCGGCGGCGCGTTCCCGACTGCTGTGGCTGGCACGACGACGCCGACCACCGCCACCGTCGGCGGTACAGGCTCCGGCATGGAGGTCGACTACGTCGCCGTCTTCACGTCATAGGTGCGCGGTGATGCAGGCCGTATTGTTTGTTTGGGGGTTTTTTTTTCAAAAATTTTAGATTTCTCCCTCCACATTTTCTGCTTTCTTCAATACTCCTTTAGACTAATTTTGTATTCTACACGGAGTACCTTACATTTTTTAACAACACCCACTGCAGGCGACCATTTCCTCAGGATATGCTTATCATGTTCCCATTCTTCAGCCGTTGCCATCAAGTTCGAACGCTTCCTAATGTACATTTTTTTCATATCTATTACGACATCCAGTGTTTAAACTGCAAAGTGAAGTGTATCGAAAATGTTGCCCTTTTTTCCGGACGTGCCCAAAGTGCAACGAAATTCCTTGTTGCGTCACACCCAAAACGCCATGAATATCCGGCCATACCAAAAAAAAATTCCAAAAAAAATTCTAGCGACCCACCGCCGACGCCGTGTTCACCGGGCTGGCCGGCGCCTCGTCGCTCGCGACCTCCGCCGCAAACTCCTCGTCGCCGTCCTCCATCAGCAGTCGCTTGTCGCCGTCGTGCTTCTCGCGCCAGTCGGCCATCTTGCGCAGTGTCTCGATGCGCTTCCGGCGCCGCTCGGGCACAAACGTCAGGTTGTCGAGATAGTCCTTGATCTTGGCCTCGACGAGCCCCTTGACGTGGAACGCGAGCTGCTGGCTGCTGAACACGCCCACGTAGCGGTAGCTCAGCCACAGGTACAGCGTAATGGCCTTGTGCAGGGCCTCGGCACCCAGCAGGTACTTGCTGGGGCCGCCCGGATAGTCGTTGGCGTCGGTCACGTCCAAGATCTCGAGGTTGATCTCGGGAATGTCGAGCAACTCGCCGCCGCTGTTTTCGGAGACACAGCGCGCAAATGCCTGCAACACCTCCTTTTGGCCCGGATCGCGCAGCGACGTCGGCGCCGCCATAAAGATGCAGCGGTCGTAAATGGTCATGCGGTAGGGCTGGATGATGTCGGCAACCTCAATCATCTCCTTGGGGCCACACATCTGGAAGAGATCCGACACCTGCGCAAGCTCGCGCATGCGCGTCAGGATGAAGCTGAAGGGCGTGTCCGGCGGGAAGTAGCGCGCAAACTGCTCAATGGCAAACGTCGGAGGCTGGATGCCCGCCCATTGCAGTGGCGGCGCCTCGTCCTGGAACGCTGCCGACACAATCGGCAGGTCCTCGTCTTCGAGCGTCGTCACGAACCCGGGCGCGCCCCATTTCTGCACCGCACCAGCGGCAGGCGTATCGGGAGTCGTGGTGTTGGCGTCGTTGTCCTTGTTCTCGCTGGCCGCATCGCTCTTGATCGCCGCCGCCGCCGTCCGGTACCGGCCCGCACGTCCGCCGATCTGCTTGACCTCGGGCACGGACAGCCGCCGGAAGTTGATGCCGTCGTGCTTGGTGGACGTCTCGAAGATGATGCGCTTGACCTCGAGGTTCAGGCCCATGCCGATGGCGTCACTGGCCACCAAAAAGTCGTAGTCGTTGTCCGGGTCGTTGAACAACGCCGCCTGCTGTGCGCGCGTCTCGGGTGGCAGCGAGCCGTACACAATCGCGCACCGCCGACCCGTGCTGCTCTCGATGCCGGCCTTGAGAGTATGCAGGGCCACACGCGAAAATGACACGACGGCATCGCCCTTGCGCAGATTGCTAAAGTCGCCCTTTAAACTCTCCTTCATCGTCTGCAGCCCGCTGAGGCGCTTGTACCTGTGCACGATGCACTTGTCGCCGATGCGCGCACACAGCGCCTGGATCAGGTCGACCGCGCGCTCCTCGCCGCACAGATGCACCTCGCGCGCCTGCACACCCAGGAACGCCTGCGTCCACGCCCACCCCCGATCCGGGTCGGCGATCATCTGGATCTCGTCAATGACAGCCACATCGACGAGCTTGTTCAGCGGCGTCATTTCGACCGTGCAGCTCTGAAAGTACGTGTCCGCCGCGCCGCCGCCGCCCATGGCCGCGACCCCACTCGCCGGGTCTGCCGGGTCCATGGGCGTGCCGTCGGTGCTGGGAAACCGCTGCTCCTCGCCCGTGATCAGCGCGCAAGGCCGGCCTTTGGCTACGAAGCGCGCATAGATCTCGTGGGCCAGCAGCCGTAACGGACCTGCATAGATGCCCGTCTGCGCGTTTTCGAGCGCCAGCAGCGCGCGGTACGTCTTTCCCGAGTTGGTGGGGCCCACGTGCAGGTGGATGGTGCGCTGCATGGTGCGAGTGGATGGGTACCACTCGTGGGGGAAGCGGAAATCGGCAATGCTTTCTTGCAGCGTGTTGACGGCCGGGGCGAGGCTCGGGCGCAGAATAAAGCTCTGGAAGGCGTAGCGCAGCTCCTTGTGCAGGCCGGCCGTGTCGCCGCGCACAAAGGCGTTGCGCAGGCTCCAGAACAGCGGGTTGTCGAGGCGGCTCACGACGCCGCGGGTGCTGGCCAGCTGCATGCTCTGGGCCAGCGCCGTGCGGAACAGCTTGGCCTGGCGGTCGAGCTCGCCTTGGCTGTGCAGGCCAAACGCGTGCATTTCGCGGTTGTCGGCCGACCAAGGCCCCAGGCTCTTCAACACGTAGCCAAAGCGGCTGTCGACGAGGGCTTCGAATAGGCGGTACTTGCGCGGGTCCCCTTTGAGTGTGACCTGCCGGCTGGCCCGCCCAGTGGGCATAAAGGCTGAAAGGTTCCGGCGGAAGTCGTGTCTGCCTCGATCGTTACCACGTCGTGACCTGGTGTCACTGCTGTCTCTTCTGTCTCTGTTATCTCTACTAGAATCGCTATGTCTTCTCCCAGATCCCTCGTTTCTGTCCATGTCGGCACCATATTCGAGATCGCGTCGTATGCCAGTAATTTCGTGCGGTCGTATTCTCTGTGGACATTCCACACAGTTAGCTGGCTGTCTTGCAGTCGCATTGTCGGATGTTCATTATACAACAACAGCGTCTCGGCTCCGCACAGTTTTCTCCAGTACGTACCGCTGGATGCCTTGTTATTAGTCCGTCGAGAGATGTGCTGTAGGCGCGCACCAGGCGCAGGGCGCAGGGCGACCTCGCCCGCACCGCGTCAAAGAGGGCGTTCATCGCCGGAGGAGCAAAGGAGTGTGTCGGAAGCGGATTTGGTATCCAGTCATGTCGAGTGTCGAGTCGAGTGTCGAGAGACGATCTGGGTGTGTGGAAGAAAGGAGAGTCGTGGAGAATGTTTGTGGACGAGTGTCGTGACTGACTCAATCCACCTTCCTGTTTTGTCGCCTGCTTGTTTTGTCTTTTAACGTGGGAAGTTGCCAGACGTATTGAGTCGTTGGCGAGGAAAGAACGATGCAGTTGAACATTCTGATATTTTTAGTGGGCCTAGGTTGGAGTTCCCGACCACGCCTTGAGACAGTCCTCCAATCACAGGCTGCACACGACAACCGTGTGGGGCAATACTACAGGACGCAACGTCAACTTTCAACGTTAACTTACAACCCTTTTTCGTTGACCATCTTCCAAGCTATCCATGATTTATATTTTATTGATTCTACCGTATTTTTAGGACACTTCTAGGCTGTGTGGTGCTTTACTAATGACTCTCCAAATTTATTAAAGTCTATTACTCTATTTGCAATTAAAAGCCGGTTTATGCTTTCGTTTAGAGTTGTTAAAAAAAAAAAAGAATAAGAAAATACGCTTTCGTGCCAATGTAAGTACTCTATACTCTTTTCAAATCACTTCAGCTTTCTCGCCCACAACGTTCGACTCTCTTCTCTGATAAAGCTTAGCTCCACAGAGGAACATGCTGGACAGCACGAAGAGCGCACCACAGAATCCAATGGAGATGGCGTACGCTTCCGCTCCGTCCTTGTGCAGATGCGTTCGCGCATAGGTCAGCAGTCCAATGGCAGACGGGCTCGAAAAGGCCGCGGACGGAGCCACGACCAGCCAGAACATGGCCAATGCCGAACCCGACCTGGCTGTGCCCACGATTTCGACCGTGACAGGTGCGGCAGCCACCCAGACGGCACCGCCCGTGCAGCCTTGGACGAGAGCAAAGACCGCCATGAGCGCAAAGGAGCGTGCGGGCAGCCACAGGGCCCAACAGGACACACCAGCTGCTATGTTGAGAAGAATAGCCACATTGATGCGGCCGCCAACGTCAAGGAGGAGGCCTGTCAAAGGTCTCCCGACGAGAAGCCCGGCGGCTAACAACGACTGCAGAGCAGCAGCCTGGGTCTGTGAGAGACCGAGGCCGCCACTGGCGTAGGACGCGATGGTATACATGGCGATGCAGTAACTCATGACTAGACGTGTTAGCGGTGGTTGCGATGACGGTTCCACTGGCACATAAAGACGGGGAGGGACGCGTACGTGCTGAGAATCCCCATGTCCAGACCCAGATGTAGCCTGGGTGGTGCAGCCAACGGAGCTGTGGAAGCTCCAATCGGCGGCTGGTGTCCATCGGTCCGCGCCGGAGGAGACAGAGACAAGGGATGAGAACGGCGGCTGAAATGGCGCCATTCACAATGAGGGCCTTTTTCAAGGACAGTGTTTCGATGAGGAGCCTCGTCGTGTTGGACAGGACCAGCCCGCCCAAGCCGGAGCCAGCATTGGCAAGGCCCTGTGCCAGGCCGAGCCGCCGGTCAAACCACTGGACGAGAATGATTTGCGAAGGGAGAAGGATCTATTCTGTTAGTGAGTGCATGGTCTGGGGATGACGAATTATTCGGAGGCACGCACTGCACCGAGGCCTAAACGTGTTAGAAGTATGCTGGGGGGAAACAAAACACTGTAGTCTACAGGAACATTGTATGGCGGCAAACGTACCAATGCTGAAGACAAGGCCTTGGCAAACGAGATAGGCACCAAATGATGTGCAAAGGCCAGCAAGGCATTGGCCAAGAACAACGCATACAATTCCTAGTGTGGAACATGAGTACTCGGCTCCGTTCAGCGGTCTGGCGTATTGGCCGATAGCAGACATACCAAGGACAAAGGGCACGCGGAAGCCGAATTTGTTGATCAGAAAATGCATGAGAGGCGCCGAGAGCAGGGCACCAGCTATCGAAAGTCCGCCGACGAAGCCATAGCGTAGCGGGGTCCCTCCCGGGATGTAGTCATGCTCAATTAGGAACGATACGTAGACCCCAAAGGTTGTATTAATTCCTGTCTAGTGGTTAGCAGTTAGCAGCACAAAGTCGAATAACTGTGGCCACTCACCCCATGATACTGAATACGAGGCTAGGATGGCCCCAACAATGACCGAAGCGTATCCCCCATCGGCTCCCTGGACTGTCTTGTGGTTGTTCTGCTCCGAATCTGAACCTGCATGAGGGAAATCATCTGGATGTGGTTGGGTAGGTGCTTCCGGAACGGCCATAACGATCAAACAAAGAATTATTGGACAAGATAAGAGTTCAAGTGGCCTCGTTGTCGATATGTATTGGCGGGGAGGTAATAAAAAAAGGCGTATTTTGGAATCCTGTCCATGGAAGTGATATAGCAAAACATGAGAACTACAGGCTTCATTCATATAGCATCAAGATAATTGTCTTTTTTGGCAATATCCATTGTATGCCCCTTGCTGGTAGCTATACGCCGTTCACACAGTTTGAAAAAAACTAATGGATTACGATGTGGTAATAATTATCCTCGTGAAGTATTTCCACATATTTTGGATGACATGTCGACAATAATCATGACTGATGAAACTCGATGACGGGCTCCGATTCCTGCGGAGCACGAGCTCGTCGCCGTCTTACATATGGCAGAGCAAAAATGGCACGACGTTCCCGTTGTTTACACACAGCAAATTTGAGCCAAGCCTGCATCGACAAGAAAATGGCCAATATGTGTCACCAAGCCGCCAAGCAGCCGCCGACAGCCGGGCGCTCCGAAGTAGAACCCGGGGCCAGGAGACGGCGATTTAGACAATAAAATCCAAACATGATCCGAGACGACGGACATCCCTTTCTTGTGTTTCGTCTGACACTCTCATGGCGTGTGTAGGCCCTGCTTGTGAAAGACGGCGACTTTATGTTCATCATGAAACGTCATGTTGGAAAACGTCAACTTGCCTCGAGTGGCCAATTTTGTTCACTTACACATTCGATGCATGTATTGGACGCCGTCTACCAGAAGTCCCTGAAGTCCATGTCATCGCCACCTCCCCAAAAACAGTATGAGCTTGGGCCACTATGACGTTAAAAGCAGGCCAACGGCACGTGCAGGACAAGACTATAGTTATATTTTCACTGCGAGTACTATCCTTGGCACTTCAGAGGATTTTATGAATTATCAGACGTTTGCTGGAGACCGGTTTGGTGGCGGCTCGTACCGGCTATTTACACTGTACTATCCTAGTGCACCCGTTGTCGCTACCTCACAAATTTGAAGTCTGACTGTGCACTTAGCCGTACTTTTGTCGGCCTAGTCCTCGGAAAGAAGCTGGTCTTAAAGTGGGTCTCGAGCGCAAAGATAGCTACTCGTTGTCGGTGTTGGAATAAACGCCGTTCTTAAGCAGGAGCGACCAAAGAGGTCCTGGTCGTTCTTTCCCCCATCCCACGCAAAGCACCACCGTGCCACCACACTCAGAAAGAACGCCCATGCTGGTTGCGACCAAACGATATTAGCAAGCCACCTGCTCCTCCTTCTTTCGCGCAATTTGCGGATCATTAACCGCAGCCTCCCCTCGCCATCCTTCGTTCTTTCCCGGGCCTTGGCACCATTTTCTGTCGTACGCTCTTTCCCATCGCGTCTCACTGAACGGCGCAAATCCAGGACGGCGTTTTCCATTCCACTGCCGAATTCGACCGTTCAGCGTGCACACTGCCATCTTATTCCCTGTGGCAAAGAAGGACACAACAAGTGTTCTGGCCTGGCCCAAGCGGCCTGACCCTCCCCAGCCGCGCGGTCCATCCTTGCCTTTGCATAGGGCGGGGGAGAACGGCCGTGACCAGTACTGGGCCGAGCCCGGGGCCAACCTCCTCTGCTCCTTCCCGCCTTTGACGGGCTGACGGGTGCGCGCCTTCCTTGGGTGTGGCGCACCTGCAGCATGACCAGCACCAACAACAACGGCAATAATGGAAGCAGCAACCCCGTGTACTCGCGGGTGCGCGGCAAGCCCCTGCCACAGACGAACATACTGCAAACATCGTCGCAACCACAACAACAACGACAACAAACACCGTCGTCACAGCAGCAAACCATCCACGATGCACGGCAGCCACCGCCGCCGACTACACCACAACTAAGGCCAGGACCACACGAGAGCCACCAGGCACTGCTGCCACGGCCATCGGCCGACAGCCGTCCCCGCGATGGTCGCCGTGAATCCCGTGCCGAGACGGTCGACGACGGTGGCCACGACAACGCCGGTGAGATGCCGCCCCGGACCGACGTCGACGACGATGCAGAGGCTACTGGTGCGGCTGGACCTTCTGGGGGTACAGCAGCGGCCGGGACTGTGGCCGGTGCGGGCACGGCCAAGCCGGTAACAGCCTGCTTCAACTGCCGAGCATTGCGCCAAAAGTGCGATCGGAAGATGCCCTGCTCACGCTGCACCCTGCGTCACCGGCCGTGTCGATACCCGTCGGGCTCCAATCGTGGCCGCAAGCACGGCAACTCGTTGTAGGTCCATGATCTCCCTTTTCCTTGTGGCGTCTTGTCCTTGTCCGCATTGGCTAACCCTTCTCCTCCCCAGCCTTCACAACACAAACTCGGCCACTGTCGATCGTCTTTTGTCCCGCATCGGCGAGACGGCCGAACGCGACCAGGTCGTCGCCGCCCTGCTCAACTTTGCTGGTGCCAACCGCCACACACAGTCCCAGTCCCACCACGATTCGCCCGCCGTGGCGGGGGCTCCCTCCTCGTCTTTATCGCCGTCTTCTCTGGCGTCTCTCGCATCGCCTCCACTGGGCACGCGGCCCTCGACGACTGCCGGTGACGGCAGCATCGCCACGACGACGACCACTGGCTCCAACACCATCAACGCCGCCAACGCCGTCGCCATGGCCGAGCCCGAGTTCCTGGCCTCGCTTGTCTCGCCTCTGCACATCATGGCCGCCGCGATCACTGCCGACACGGCCCCGTACCATCTAAGCCCCAACTCGCCCATGGCGCAGTCGTTCCTGGGCAACAAGGCTCGCAAAAACATCATTGACGAGCGTCTGTCACGCTACTTTGCGACGCAGACGACCCACCAGCGGGACTGGCAGGTGTTGGCCACGCAGCCCATTGATAGCCCTCTGAAACTCGAGACCACTACCTGTGACCCGGTCGCTGCGCGCATCATCGACCAGGACGATGTCGTGTGGTACTTTAAACTGTAGGTGGAGTTTGTTGTTCTCGGCAGATTTCTTGATGGTCTGATACTCGGAATGTTACTAACCCGCTGTGCAGTTTTTTCAAATACCGCAGCCCGCTTGTCGGTCTGCTGGACCCCGTCCTGCACACGCCCGAGTACGTCCGGGCTACCTCATTTGTTCTCTTCTCCGCGCTCTGTGCGCTCGGCTGTGCCGTCTCGGATCGCCCGCGCGACCGCGTCGTCTACCCGGCTTTGCTTTCGCTCGCCGAGGGCAACATGAAGTGGGCCATTGCCGTCTGCGTCAAGTCGCTCGAGACCATCCAGGCCATCATCGTTATGCAGTACTGGGCCCCCGTCAGCCAGCGCCAAGCCGACGATCCGTACTGGCTACGCCTCAGCCACGCCGTCCAGCTCGGCCGCGAGCTCGGCATCCACCGCCCGGCCACCATTGCCGAGCAGGTCAACAACGAGGTGGCCCAGATCCCCGGTGGCGCCACACCCGAGTTTCGTGAGCGCCTGTTTCGCAACTTTGAGCGCACCTGGCTCTACACGTTTATTTCCGACAAGAGCTTTGGAATCATCACAGGCCGCTCCATGGGCGTGGCTTGGAAAGAGATGCCTGCATACGCGTCCGAGTGGTGGCGCAAGCCCATGACAGGGCCCGTCGACCGCATTGTGAGCGGCATCATTGAGATGCGCGGCCTCTTTCTGGCGGCCATGGAGCAGCGCAAGCGCGTTGCCAACACCCTGGCTGCCGTTGAGCAGTGGCATGCTCAGACGTACCGTGTCCTCGAGCAGACCCGCAACGCGCGCTGCGCCCCCTCGCCTCACTGCCCTTATTTGTCGGTTCTCGCCTTTTACATGGACCACAGCATCATGGTGCTCAATGCCCAGGCCCTGCGCGACATGAGCTCCATTGACCTGACCGGCACGTCCCCGGAGCTGCTGCACCTGTCGGCCATGAACGTCGACATTGCCAGCCGCCTGCTTGACACCATGCTGCACGACCCTGTGCTGCTCGAGCTCATGGTCGGGTTCCACAACAACCAATTTATCATGGTTTGCCACGCTGCCACCGAGATTCTGTATGCCATCCAGCGCGGCGGACTCTCGCTTGTGAAAGTCGACCAGGCTGCCTCAAAAGTGCGCGCGATCCCCGGCCACCTGGACCGCATCGCTGCCCGCCTGCCCACGACGTCAGCCGCACACCTGTACGCGAGCCTGTCGGCATTTTTTGTGGCCCAGCTCGACAAGGTTGTGCGCAACAATGCAGAGCGGTATGGCGCGGTTGTTTCCGGCTCCGCTGCTGGCGCCAGCAGCGTCAACAATACCGACGACCGCAGCATGGCCGCCGACTCGGACGACTCGGACGACTCGGACGGTGGCGAGGCAGATGGCGGCGAAGGCACGACTCCGCAACCACTTTTACAGCATCAGACACAACAACAGCAGCAACAACAACAAGCACAGCAGCAGCAAGTACAGCTACAACAGCTCTTGCAGCAGCAGCAACCACAGCAGCAACAGCCACTGCAACCGCAACAGCACAGCTCTACGACCTCATCATCACTGCGCGCCCTCGACCGCGTCATCGAACCCGACCAGGACTCGTTGCTGGCCGACTGGTGGAAGACAGTCGACGGCGGGCTGCTGGACTCGACTACCTGGATGGACATGGGCTTCTTGAGCTCCGAGCAGCCCATCCTGGGATCTTTGTCGGCCACGGGCGGCAACAGTGCCGACGCACCGGACGGTGTCGGTTTCAACCAAAGCATGTTTCAGTAAGTTGGAGGTGGGGATGGGGGAAGGGCGAAGGTACGATAAAGGTTTTACAGAAGCCTACATTAATAATGTGCACGATTGCATTTGTTGTGTGTGATGCGTGATGAAACGCGATGTAGTTTTATTGATATCAAGGTTTCAGAATTGTATTCTGTGGATAATTTGCGAATCCCCGTTTTTGAATCTTGAGTGGACTGCTGTTAGCGATTGCGATGTGAAGTAAATGCCCTTAGAGTTCCTTGCCTCTGCGGTTCTCGGTCAAACGAGCCGATTCTCGGGCCGCTTAGCGGTCCGCTCCTTGCGTTTGAACCCCCGAAATGACTGTCCAGCGGAAGAATTCCGGTGTCACAGTTGTACAACGAGAGAAGAAATGCATAAAATAAAGTATGGCATCACAGTAGATATTGCAAATGAATTCCAAACATGACGGCAGCCAATAGGCGTCATGAACTTATACGATGGTTGCTATCATAGAAAAGATACCAAGCCAGCGAAAAAGAGGGCCAAAGAGGTCCCATCGGACGCCGTTCGCCAAGACGGCGTCTTACCACTACGCTTTTATTCACTTACACGGAGCCAGCGAGAAAGGAACGGCACACAGACGATAAGCTAGGCGAAGACGGCGAATTCACCCCTTCGTCCTCTTTTCTTCTCCCTCGCCTTTGACACCCGCTATTCCTCCCTCTCCTTTCCTGCTCTCACACTCTCACTTGCTCCTTCTGTCCAGTTTGTTATCTCTCGGCCTCGCGTCGTTCTCTATCAAGACACATGCAACCGCCGGGACATTCGCCGTTTTCGTGGTTCCGTTATCAGCAGCGACCAGGGATAACGAGATACCGAACGAGTCACCAACGACAATGTACCCACGAACTGTGTTCCCAGAGGAAAACGGCGGCCCTTCAGTAGCGGCCAAGGACTCGCGATAATACGGAAGGACGACACCACCATGGAAGGTCCCGATAAAACGAACGACCAACAGAAGAGGGCCGACAGGCGCATGAGACTGGAGAACGGTGCTACAGCAACTGACATGTCTCTACCGGTAGCCAAAGCCCAACTGACTGATGGATCTGGTCACTTTGTCGAGATATAATACGGCACATGGATTCCCATATATCTTAAGCTTCCCTTGTTGAGATAACAAGAGGGGCAGCATCCTCAAGGACGATTACCATCATAAAGAACACCGGGACATCATCTGGACGTACCTATTCTTTGCGTTGAGAGTCGCATCAACGATTTTGCCGTTCAGACCACACCAACCCACCCACCACATCACCGATATGGCACCCGGCGCAGTACTCGAGACAGCTGCCGTCATCCCGTCTGTGACGGCAGCCCGACTCAAGACAGACGTCGCCACGGCGACGGTAACCGTCGAGGAGAAGGCGACGCCACTCACGGCCCAAGACGCACTCGATGCTGCGATTCGCCGCTACACGACGGCCAACCCCCGCTCCTACGCACTGCACCAGCTCGCCACCGAGAGCATGCCCGGCGGCAACACACGCACCCAGCTGCACACGTCGCCATTCCCGCTGTGCATGCAGTCCGGCAAGGGTTACCAACTAACGTCCGAGGACGGCGCGACGTACACGGACTTTGTCGGCGAGCTGACGGCGGCCGTTTACGGCCACTCGCACCCGGTTATTGTGGCGTCGCTACTGACGACGGTAACCACCGTGGGCCTCAATCTAGGTGCTACCATTGCGCAGGAGCACGTTCACGCGTCGGCCATGTGCGCCAGGTTCGGCCTGGAGCGCCTGCGGTTCACCAACTGCGGGACGGAGGCCAACCTGCACGCGCTGGCCGGGGCACGAGCGTTCACAGGCAAGCGCAAGGTGGTGGTGTTTGCGGGCGGGTACCACGGAGGTGTGCTCATGTTCGGCGGCGGCCAGCCGGCGGCCAACAATGTGGACCGGGACGACTTTGTGGTGGCGCGCTACAACGACGTGGCCAGTGCGCAGGCGGCGATTGCGCAAGAGGGCGTGGCAGCGGTGCTGGTGGAGGGCATGCAGGGCGGACCCGGTGCGGTGCCAGGTACGCGGGCGTTTCTCACGGGCATTGAGGCAGCCGCAAAGGAGGTGCGTAATCGGCTATAGACTTTGTGCTTGCGGTGCTCGTGATGCTCGTGGTGCTTGTGTCTTGTATCAACTTGCTGACCTGCTCTAGGCTGGTGTTGTCTTCATTCTCGACGAAGTCATGACATCGCGCATGGCACCCGGCGGAATTGCAGAGCTCCACGACCTGCACCCCGACATGAAGACGTTTGGCAAGTACCTGGGCGGTGGCCTGGCCTTCGGTGCTTTTGGCGGCCGTAGCGATATTATGGCGTCGTACGACCCGCGGCCGCAGCCGCAGCCAACGAAAACGAAATCGTCAGCCACAGGTTCGCCAGCCGCACCGTCCCTCACGCACCACGGCACGTTCAACAATAATACGCTCGCCATGTACGTCGGCCACGCCGGCCTGACCGAGGTCTACACGCCCGAGGTGTGCACGGCCTTCAATGCCCAGGGCACCGACCTGCTGCGCCAACTCGCGGCCGTGACGGCTGGCACCAAGATGTGCTTCACGGGCGTGGGCACGGTGCTGGGGTCGCACTTTACGGCGGCCGGCCTGCAGACGATTGAGCGCGAGACGGCCGAGGACTGGACGCTCAAGGAGCTCTTCTGGTTCGAGATGATGGAGGACGGGTTTTGGACGACGCGGCGCGGAAGCATTGCGCTGTGCCTGGGCACACCTGCGAGCGAGCTGCAGCGGTTTGTGGCGTGCGTGGCAGCGTTCCTCAAGCGAAACGCGCCGTTGGTGGCTGTTGATGCCAAATAGACGACAAGACGATGTGTCAAAGTAGCCAGCAGGCCGAGTGAAGTGTCACGAGGATGTACTCGGCCAGGCCGCGATGTCGTGATGCAACCTTGGCCTGATTTCGGGGGATGTCCAGGCTTGGTGCCAATGGATGGCGTTTCCTCTTGTCTGATTTGCTTCTAGTTTTTCTCACCTTGTCCGTTTTGTCGGAAACGAATCGAGTTAGCTGATTGAGTTCTGACATCCTCCTTGTCAGGCAACGAAATGACAACCATCCCCGATCGTCTTCATTTTGGTGCGCAGTGCCTAACCTGTTTCTTTGTGAATCACACGCCCCAACCTGGCCTCGTCAGCGCTGTGCCAGCACGACTGCCGCTGTGGCGTTATTGCTCCATCGACCCCCAGTATGAAGCAATCTCTCGACTGCTCCAACAGGGGCATTCCCTGCGTTTTTGGCTGCTCTTCTATTGGAGGGTCATTCTACTGCCAAGATCGTGCTTGAAGGTCGGCGAAAGGCAAACAACGAAGACACCATCAGGAAAGGGAAATGAGACAAAAGGGGGTTTTTGGAGGTTCGCAAAAGACGCCCCAAAAACAAAACAAAAGATCAAGAAGAAGCTCCAACTTGGCGCCAATGGCACCAATAACGCAGTTCGTGGTGCGTTGCCAAACAGGGTAAGAGCTAGTGAGCCAGCGAAAGCTTAAGGGCGGGAAAGAACCTCCCGACCTGCGACTTCCTGGAACGCGCACCTTCCTGCCAGGTCTCACGCCGCCGCCACTAAAGCGAAAGGCCCCAGCGCATGGGGGTCCCAAAGGCGTCATCGCGCATTTACGTAATACCCTTTGGCCGCCTGCCAAATGGTGCCCTAACGGCCCTAGCCAATGGCAGCAGCCGCTGATGACGAGCTTGACGGGCTGGCCGCTAGGCACGTCCAGACCACCCGAGGGATATGCTTATTGCAATCTTCTGGCATTCGACAAATCAATATTTTACTATTTTGTTGTTATTATCGCTCAGCTATGAATGTATAGACATCTGGTGGCCTCGGCCAGAACATGGCGAGCGCGGGTGTGGAAGGAGCGACCAGGCGCCACGAGCATCATGTGGTGTGGCTTTCAAGCAGTTGACGGGAAGGGTAAGAACGACGGGGGGCGAGCGTGGGGAGTTCTCGTGCAAAGTGGAGCCCTTGCGACCGAGAAGCTGCCGTTGGTTACGGAGCAGTGGTCACCGAATGGCAAGAAGTCTCTGCATCACTCGCGTGCTTGAAGGCAAGAACGATGAACTGGAGGACTAATGCTCTCGAACCAGGCAGGCACGAAACCTTCAAAATGACACATTAGAAACGTAGCAGAAAATCGCACCAAAGGTTGAAAGAAGAACAGAAACCCAACGCCGTCCGACTACTGTCGTACTCCTGGCGCACATGTAAAAGAGGGTCGCTCCCATGGCACCGGACTGGCGTTTTGTTTCCTTGTTTCGATCTGCACTCGACCGTTCGTCTGTTCTTTTGGCCCTTATTTTCTGAGTTTTTTTAATTATTAATTTCTGCGGACACTCTGCCATCTCTTCCTGTCTTTTCTCTTCCTCCTGCCAATCGGTCCCCGATCATCGCTCTCTTCCACGTTTCTTCACCTCCCTTTCGCTTCCTCTCCCTCCTGCTTGATCGCCTTGGTATCGCGCCCGATCTTGGCGCCGCCTGTCTCCTCACAGAACGGATTTTAGCAAGGAGATAACGCTGTGGAAGGCGCCGTCTCGTTCTTTCCGTCCCCCTGCTCTGATAAGAGAATAAGAGAACACCGCCAAATCTCGCCCAAACACACCCAATACCAGCTATCCGCGCTCTCTTTTCGCCCACGGCGTCTCGCTGATACGCGTGCACGCCGTTCGAGCACGCCGTCTGGTGCTTTTTTGACGTGCGGATCTGACGTACCCAGAAGAAGCACGCCTTTGCGACAGCCCAGTGCTCGTATCTTGAACCTTGTCAATTGTGCGTTGGCGCAGGGCAAAGATCGCAGTCAAATCCGTTGAAGGAAAGACCTGCGCTGTGTGCTATAACAGGACTGCCGATCCGGAAGATCAGAGACACAACAGAGATCAGAACTGGAATGTACTGCTGACCTGGGCTTGCACGACGTTTGCGCACGTTTGTTTGGTGACACCGCACTAGACATATTCATTTATCCGAATTCGCTCCTTCCTCCATCTCTACTGCTTGTCCTTATTTTTGTTTCTCGCCTCTCTCTCTCTCTCTCCTGCGTCTGTCTACGCGCCTGGCCTCACCATGGCGTCACACGAACCCACGCCCAGTGGCTACGGCAGCGGGCTGCTCAACGATGACATCGGCATCAACTACCGCGCCCCCGACAAGACGAAGCACGCCGACGCATATGGTGGACATGGCAGCCCCCATGACAAGACGTCCGCCGACGAAGGCTCCGTGGGCGACTTCCAGGCCATCGACCCGCACTCGGGTGTCAAGCGCGGCCTCAAGACGCGCCACCTGAGCATGATGGCCCTCGCCGGCATCATCGGCCCCGGCCTGCTCGTTGGCTCCGGCGGGGCCCTGTCCTCGGGCGGCCCGGCGGCCCTGATTATCGGTTTCGGCGTGATTGGCATCATCGCCTTCAGCATCATGCAGAGCCTGGGCGAGCTGACGACGCTGTACCCCTCGGGCGGCGCCTTTGTCACGCTGGCCGACCGTTTTGTCGACAAGGCCTTTGGCGTCGCCGTGGGCTGGAACTACTTTATCATCTGGTTTGCGGTGCTGTCCAACGAGTACAACACCATCACGAGCATCTTTTCCCTGTGGAGCGACAAGGTGCCCATCTGGGGGTATTTCCTGCTGTTCTGGTCCGCCTTCATGGCCTTCCAGCTGCTCGGCGTCGAGGCCTTTGGCGAGGCCGAGTTCTGGCTGGCGCTGATCAAGCTCGGCGGCCTGGTCGCCTACTTTTTGTTCTCCATCGTCTACGTCAGCGGCGGCATCAAGGGCACGCCCGCCATTGGCGGCGCGTACTGGCACGACCCCGGCGCGTTCCCGCACGGCTTCCGTGGCGTGGCCACCGTCTTTGTGTTCTGCTCGACCTTTTACGCCGGCGTCGAGTCCATCGCCGTCGCCGCCACCGAGACCAAGAACCCGGGCGTCGCCGTGCCGCGGGCGATCCGCCAGGTGTTTTGGCGCATCATCTTCATCTACATGGGCTCCGCCATCTTCTTCGGCCTGACCTGCCCCGCCAACGCCGACGGCCTCGTCAACGGCGCCAGCAAGGCCCTCAAGTCGCCCATGACCATTGCCATCCAGAACGCCGGCTGGCAGTCGGGCGTCAACCTCATCAACGCCTTCATCTTCGTGACCTGCCTGAGCGCCGTCAACTCGAGCATCTACATTGGCAGCCGCACGCTGCTCTTCATGGCCCAGGACCGCAAGGCGCCCAAGTTTTTGGGCTGGACCAGCAAGCGCGGCGTGCCCATCCCGGCCATTGTGCTGACCAATGCCTGCGGCGCGCTGAGCATGATGAACGTCTCGACCGGCGCCAGCAAGGCCTACGGCTACATTGTCAACCTGTCGGGCGTCTCGACGTTCCTGGTCTGGGGTGGCATTTCCTTTACGCACATCCGCTTCCGCTCCGCCTGGAAGGCCCAGGGCCACACCCCCGACGAGCTGCCTTTCCAGTCGCTGGGGTACCCGTACAACGCCTACTTTGGCCTGTTTGCCAACGTCTTCTTGGCCCTGGTCCAGGGCTGGTCGTACCTGTCGCCCTTTGACGCCGGCAACTTTGTCGACGCCTACATCCTGCTGCCCCTCTTTGCTGTCATCTACTTTGGCTACAAGTTCGTCTTCAAGACCCACTTCTGGCGCGCCCGCGAGATGGACCTGGTTACGGGCCGCCGTCGCGATCTCGAGGAGGACAAGGAGGTGGCCCACGGCGACCTGGGTCCCGTGCCCTTGCCCTGGTACAAGCGGCTGTGGAACAACTTCTAAGCGCCAGCGGCCGTTCGACCATAGAGTGGCAGCTTGCCTCCGGGTCCACTGTGCGACGAAGCATTGCCTCATTTGCCTCTGAATAAACGGAATATTTTCTGGGTTGCTTGCATATCGTTGCATGACGTTGTCTTTTGCTTTTCGTTTGGATTTCTTTTGGATTTCTTTTGGATTTTCTTTCTCAATTGCGCGCTTGAATACCCCACTGTCGCCCTTTGGCTGGCATGTTGTATTACGTAGTCTGCCCTTAGTTGAATTGGACCCTGGAGATGCCGCAAGGCATGCTCCTACTGATTTGCATGTCGCGTGGCTGCAGATTGTATCGTGTTCTTCGCAAGATTGTGGTCGTCTATGCCTGTGAATGGAAGTGAATGTGAGAGCTGAGACGCTCGTCTTGGGCGACTTCCTTGTTGGGAAACACTTGTGTAAATGGGACACTGGGACACGTGCACGTGGCTGAGCACAATTTATCACGTGAAACGTGTCCTCCAATTGTGGAGACGCGCAAGTGCCCGGGCGACTACGAAGAGGCGCCAAGTACGAATGGTAATTGCGCTGTAATACAGACGATTAGGCAGCTCCTCCATGCAACACCAAGCTTCCTCTAGCGCACATCGGCCAAGGCCAAGAAAACGCCCAAGAACACGACGCAATCGCATGCCAACGACCCCGTATCCAGCCAAAGCCGGCAACGACAAGACGACGGGGACGCCGGAGACGACAAAACGCAACAGATTGACGAATCTGGACGACCCAAAACAGATGACGAGACAGCGGTAGTATCGGGAGCGGCTGACGAACCATCCACGCGAAGAATCCAAAACATCGACCCTTGAACGGCGCGGCCGTGTCGGTCGACGGAGGGCGCGACACACAGCACACACACAATGGCGTCCCGGTCGTCGTCGTTCCTGTCGTCGACGGCGGTGGGCGTCCGGCGGCCGTCGGTCGGCTCACGCCTGTCGTTTGCCGTCTCGACAGCCGAGCGGGGCGAGAACGGCGAGAACGACGAGGGCGCTCCGGCGGCGGCAGCCGAGCACCAGCGGATCGAGGAGGAGATTGCCGAGATCAAGCGCTACGAAGACTTTACAACAATAGGTGCGTGATTGCTTTCGGCTGCTCGAGGGGTGCCTTTGGACACGGACTGACCAACGACACCAGACTGGGTGCAGGACGCGGCCCGCGAGCATCTGCGGCGCAAGGCCCGGCGACGGCACAATGCCGACCTCTACGACCACGGCCAGGTCGGCTGGCGGCACAGGCTGTACGAGTCGTACGACGCGGCGCAGGGCTGGATCGTAGTGACGCTGATCGGCGTGGCCATTGGCCTCAACGCGGCGTTCCTCAACATCATCACCGAGTGGCTGTCCGACATCAAGCTGGGCTACTGCACGACGGCCTTTTACCTCAACGAGAACTTTTGTTGCTGGGGCGAAGACAACGGCTGCGCCGACTGGCACCGCTGGACGGGCTTTGGGCCGGCCAACTACCTTTTGTACCTGGCCTTTGCGACGGCCTTGGCCTTCACGTCGGCGATCCTCGTCCGCTCCTATGCGCCGTACGCGGCCGGATCCGGCATTTCCGAGATCAAGTGCATCATTGCCGGCTTCACCATGAAGGGCTTCTTGGGGTTCTGGACGCTGGCCATCAAGTCCGTCGCGCTGCCGCTCGCCATCGCGTCAGGCCTGTCGGTCGGCAAGGAAGGCCCCAGCGTGCACTACGCCGTGTGCACGGGCAACGTCATCTCGCGCCTGTTTGCCAAGTACCGCCGCAACGCGTCCAAGACGCGCGAGATCCTGTGTGCCTGCGCCGCGGCCGGCGTCGCCGTGGCCTTTGGCAGCCCCATTGGCGGCGTGCTCTTTTCGCTCGAGGAGATGTCGAGCTACTTCCCCCTCAAGACGCTGTGGCGCAGCTACTTTTGCGCGCTGGTGGCCACGGCCGTGCTGTCGGCGATGAACCCCTTCCGCACGGGCCAGCTGGTCATGTTCCAGGTGCACTACGACCGGTCGTGGCACTTTTTCGAGACGGTCTTTTACGTCATCATCGGCATCTTTGGCGGCTTGTACGGCGCCTTTGTCATCAAATGGAACCTGCGCGTGCAGGCGTTCCGCAAAAAGTACCTGGGCCAGCACGCCGTGCTCGAGGCCACGCTGCTGGCCGCCGCCACGGCCCTGGTGTGCTACCCCAACGTGTTCCTGCGCATCGACATGACGGAGAGCATGGAAATTCTGTTTCTCGAGTGCGAGGGCGCCGAAGACTACCAGGGCTTGTGCGAGGCGTCCAAACGGACGTGGAACATTGCGTCGCTCGTTGTGGCCACGCTGCTTCGCACGTTCCTGGTCATCATCTCGTACGGCTGCAAGGTGCCCGCCGGCATCTTCGTGCCGTCCATGGCCATTGGCGCGTCCTTTGGCCGCACCGTCGGCATCATTGTGCAGGCGTTGCACGACGCGTACCCGTCGAGCGTGTTTTTTGCGGCCTGCGAGCCCGACGTGCCGTGCATCACGCCCGGCACCTATGCCTTTCTGGGCGCCGCCGCTGCGCTCTCCGGCATCATGCATTTGACGGTCTGTGTCGTCGTCATCATGTTTGAGCTGACCGGCGCCCTGACCTACATTCTGCCGACCATGATCGTGGTGGGCGTCACCAAGGCGGTCGGCGACCTCTTTGGAGGGGGCGGCATTGCCGACCGCATGATCTGGTTCAATGGGTTTCCCTTTTTGGACAACAAGGAGGAGCACAACTTTGGCGTGCCGGTGTCGCAGGCCATGAACAGCGACGTCACGGCCTTGCCCGCGGCCGGCATGACGCTGGCCGCCGTCGACCGCCTTCTGGCCCAGGGCCAGTACCAGGGCTACCCGGTTGTCGATGACGCCGAGTCGCGTGTGCTCGTCGGCTACGTGGGCCGCACAGAGCTGCGCTATGCCGTCGACCGGTTCCGGCGCAATGCAGGGCCAGTGAATCCAGACACGCGCTGCGTGTTCCTGCCGCCGTCTGAGCTGGCTGCTGCCGCGGCCTCCACCCACGGCGGACCTGGCACCGCTACCGCTGCTGCCGCCGCCGCCGCCGTGGGCGACGATGCCTTGTTAACGGCGCCCATGACGCCGGCACTGACCGTTGTCCCGAATATAGATATGGCGGCCGTCCGAACCGACGACACCGGCAGACCGGACGGATCGCCAGCACACCCGCCACCGTCGTCGACGGCGGTCGATTTCAGCCGCTACGTGGACCGCACGCCGGTGATGGCCCACCCGCACCTGCCCCTCGAGACCGTCATGGAGCTCTTCCGCAAGATTGGTCCTCGCGTCATCCTCATCGAACACCACGGCAAGCTGGTGGGCCTCGTCACCGTCAAGGACTGTCTCAAGTACCAGTTCAAGGCCGAGGCCGCCGAGAACACACGCACGGCCGGCATCAACGGCACCGACAACGGCAACGGCAACGGCGCCGAGAACCAGCAGGAGCAGCTGTGGCAGGGAATGGTGTGGTTGGCAGGATGGGTGGCCGAGCGCGTGAGCCGCGTCACTGGCGGGCGCATCCGACTGGGCAGCGGCAATGGATACGGCTACAGCGGCGGCGACCACGGCATCCTCGACGGCACAGAAGAGGTCGACGATGAGGGCGTCGAAATGGACGCGCGGTAGAGGCCGGTCATTGTGGCTGATTGCATTTGTTTTTGTGTATAGCGTATTAGTTTTGTCGAGTCCATAGAAGCCCATAGAAGCAATGAGCGACCGTGCTTCAGATGACACGAGCCAATCTTACGCCGAACGACACTTGCTCATAGTGTTTCCGGTTTTCTTGTTGAGCAATTTGAGGTTCATTGCGGGCCCTTAATCTGGGCGGATCGGGCCAGGCCGCTTCTTGGAACCAGGCGGCTCCTGATTGGATTAGGAAGAACGCCCAACAGGTGTGCCACCGCATCGAGCCACAAACCGAGTTACCTGCCGAGACGTTTTGTTGCCTTGTCCGCTTCTTCTGATTTGATGTTGGAGCCGAGACTGCCAACGCCTTGTGCGACGCGGGAGCTTATGAATGAAAACGTGTGTGGACGCCGCATTTGGTTCGTATCAAGAAATAAGATACGATCAGGCAAAACGCAGTACACGAGCAGTGAGTACTGTGCTTATTTAATATGGGCGTATGAAAAGTCGTCAAACGCCGTCTTTTCTGTCCACCATGATTCCCACCATGCTTCCCAGAAAGCGCCCAAAGCGCGAGAAGATCTTCGCGCACGCCGATTTCAACCTCGAAGCATTGCTGTCTCTCGCGACAAAACTTCGAGGCCTGCCGTGTTCATGTACAGCGGACGTCTCGAGGAGACCCAAAATGGGAAGCCAAAATTGGGTTGTGTTTCTTCAATTTGACGATGGGGCCGAATGGGTGTTTCGCTCACCGCGCGCCGGCGCGGACACAATCTACTCGGCTGAATCTGCTTCAAAGATACTGCTTAGTGAAGCCGCCACATTGAGATACATACGGACACACAGTTCGATCCCCGTCCCAGACGTATATTCGTTCAGGTTCGTAATGAAGTCAAGTCCTGCCGGTCACGTTTCTTGGGTGCTGACCAAGCGTTTCAGCGGCTCGTCCGACAATGACATCGGGGTACCATACATTCTCATGAGCAAGGCCTCTGGCCGTTCGCTGTCTGAGTACGACTGGACTGAAGATGCCCTCCACTTGCCAGGGTATCCTCAAATAGTGAAGCTTCTTCCCCTGACCGACGAGAACCGAGAAAAGATTATGAGCCAGCTCGGGTCCATTATGTGTCGTCTCTCTGAGCTTCGTTTCAACAAAATTGGATCCCTGTTCAAAGACAGCGATGGCAATTATTTCGTTGGCGAATGTCTGAGTCCGACGTTGCTCTGGCAGTGGAGGGACCAGCTCGAGGACATGGAGCGAGGTCCGTTCGACGACGAGAGCCAGTACTTCGGCTCTCAGATTTCTGCCATGGTAGAGCATGCCAAGCAGCTTCGAATGAGCCCCCACAGCTTTTTTGCGCCGATTCCTGACCCGCTCGAATATCGCAACTGGTCCGACTATCGCGCAGCAACAGACCTGTGGAATGATTTCTGTGCCCTTGGCGACAAGATAGAGAGCAGTGAAAATAGGCTCTCTTTCTGCATTGCGGGCCAGCTGCTGCGCGACATGATTCCGTCTCTCGCTTCGACAGGCATCCATTTCGCCCTTTCTCACCCCGACCTTCATATCGGTAATTTGTTTGTGGACGACGAGTTTAACATCACGAGTGTCATCGACTGGGGCTCTGCATCGGTCGGCCCTGTCACCGAGCTGCTCATCACGCCAGGGTTCAATGGTTCGTTCACACCACCTCTAGATTCACTTATTGCCGCGTTTAAGACAGGCTTCCAGGAAACGGCGCGGGGACGGAGTGTTGAGCCAGAACAATGGGAGAGAGCAGAGAGAATTCGTCATTTTACTCCCCTTGTCCGAACGTTGTCGACGCAAGACTTGACGCTGTTCCAAAGCCTCTACAAACTCGTGTATGGCAAAGACTTGGACGACATTCGGCGGGACATTCCTCAGCTTTTTTGCCAGCACCGCGAGGAGGAATATGCGAAGCATCTGATGGCTGAACTGCGCGAGGACGAGGAAGAGGACAATGAAGAAGAACAAGAAGAAATGGCTGGACAGGAAACGATGGCAGGCAGAGGAACGGAAGGAAAACGAATAAAAGAAGGAGAGAAGATTGTGAGGAAACGAGAAGAAGGGAAGGCGGATAATGGTGACATGCAGCAAATGTTGACAGCAGTGAGAAAACGGGAGGAGAGAGTGACTGTGAGGTATGCTGTGGCAAGAAAGTTGACGCTGATGTCGGAGAAGAACTCTCAATTTGTAGCTGATAGGAGGTTGTGGCAGTGGATTGGGGACGCACTGGAGACAGTCGATGTGTGAGCCACCGACGTATGTGTGGTATTCGCCGATGTGTTTGGCGCCTATTATTACTTGGGCTGTGAATGTCCAGTTGCCCGTGGAATCGCCAAAATGCATGATGTCGTAGATACCTCACGAGACATCTGCACAACGGTCGTTGAGGCTTTTGCCAACACCGCCTCCATGGTTCAGTGTCGATACTGTACTATGGGCATTTCGCTGTTCTGTGTCTGTTCAGCTGAGGCTGTCCGTACTCATTTGGCAACATAAACCTTTCCCAGTCATATGCCGCGCATTGCTCTTCCCAGGCGCTTTATGGAGTATGAAAGATGCAAGACGAGGCTTGCGCCATTGACCGCGAATATCAACGGCCAGGAATGTGTCGAAATGCATCTCTGACTACCAGAGCATTTTAAGCGCTGCTGCAACACGAGAGGCTTGACGATCAACATGGAGTTCTGGATGAGTTGCTCCGCTCAACATTCGCACGTCCGGTTGAAAGCAATACTGCGGCTGGGCGTGGACTCCGTAGACAACGCCGGTGGTGGGGAGATGAGAGTGAACGCCGACAGTTCAAAGCGACCGGAAAACGAGGCGTTGTCTCCTGTTGTAGACGGCGACTCTGAGCATTAGTTGAGGTGGTGGAAGTTCGGAGAGGTAAGCGAGTCTAAATGGAGGAATTACGATCACGACGACGCTCAGGACTGAGGGAAGGTACGGTTGGTAAGATAGAACAGGGCCTCGGAAAGTGCGCACCCGCTAAAGGAACGGCTGCACCTGCCTTTTGTTGCTCGTTTGGACCTGCCGTACAACATACTATATCGCTCTTTCCCCAGGTACCGCACAACACCCGCGACGTTGGGGTAGAGGGCCGCCTTATAACGAATTAGGAAGGCGACGGTGGCGGGTGGCACCTGTCAACATTTCGGGGAAAAATAGAATTTTAAACTACAGTACACTATAGCGCCAGACTACAGACTACAGCCTCCTTGTCATTGGCGGCCGACGACGGATGTATTTAAACGGCCAACCTGCGAAAGGTCTTCCACCGCATATTGATATCGGCGATCCGATTGTACTCCGTGCTTGGTCGACCCTCATCCCCTCGATTCCCTCAGATCAACACACCATGGATGACAACGCCTTCCGCGAGGCTGCGACGGCCTCCATCGACGAGAGTAAGATCACACGTGGAATGGATTGAGTTTCGGCGCCGAATCCGACTAACATCCCCAGTCATCAAGTACTATGCAAGCCTCGGCGGGCGGCCCGTCGTCTCGACTGTCGAGCCCGGCTACTTGCGCAAGCTGCTGCCCGACGCCGCCCCCGAGCAGGGCGAGGCATGGGACGTCATCCGCCAAGACATCGAGGACAAGATCGTGCCGGGCCTCACCCACTGGCAGTCGCCCAACTTCTTTGCCTTTTTCCCCTGTCCTTCCAGCTACCCGTCCATCCTCGGCGAGCTGTACTCCGCCACCTTTGCTGCCGCCGCCTTCAACTGGATCTGCAGCCCGGCCATCACCGAGCTCGAGACCGTCGTCCTCGACTGGCTCGCCCAGCTGCTCGGCCTGCCAGAGGAGTACCTCTCGACGGGTCCCACGCGCGGTGGCGGCGTCATCCACGGCACCGCCTCCGAGGCCGTCATGACCATGATGACTGCAGCCGCCGACAAGTACCTGCGCGCTGCGCTGGCGGCTGACCACGCCGGCTTCGAGACGCTGTCCGACGAGGAGCAGGAGGACCTGCGCGCCGCTCGCCGCGCCCGCCTCGTTGCTCTCGGCGGCGGCACCGCTCACTCGTCCGCGAAAAAGGCCGCCCAGGTCCTGGGCCTGCGCTACCGGTCGATCCCGGCCCCCGCCGCCAACGGCTATGCCATCAACGGCGACGGCCTGCGCGCGACCCTGGCCAAGGTCCGCGCCGCCGGCCTCGAGCCCTTCTTCCTGAGCACCACCTTTGGCACCACCGACACCTGCGCCGTGGACGACTTTGCCAGCATTGCCGACGTGCTCGATGCCGACCTCGCGGCCCAGGTGGCCGCCGGCCGTGACGCCGCTGCGTCCGACATCTGGGTGCACGTCGACGGTGCGTACGCCGGCTCGGCCCTTGTCGCCCCCGAGACCCGTGCCACCATGTGCCCCGCGCCCCGCGACCCCGCCGACCCCAACTCCGAGCCCACGGGCACAGCTGTCCTGCGCCGCTTCCACAGCTTCAACATGAACATGCACAAGTGGCTGCTGACCAACTTCGACTGCTCCTGCGCCTTTGTGCGCGACCGTCGCTGGCTCGTCGATGCCCTCGGTGCCGACGCCCACTACTACAAGAACGACTACAGCGACGGCGGCCTCGTCACCGACTACCGCGACTGGCAGCTGCCGCTGGGCCGCCGCTTTCGCAGTCTCAAGGCCTGGTTTGTGCTGCGCACCTACGGCGGCGAGGGCCTGCGCGCCTACATTCGGCGGTCCATTTCGCTCGGCGAGCGTTTTGCCGATTCCCTCAAGGCGCGCCCGGACCTGTTTGAGATCCTCACCGGCCCGCAGTTTGCCCTGACCGTGTTCCGCGCCGCCAAGCGCACACCCGACGAGCCGCTCGAGGTGACGTCGGCCCGCACGCGGCGGGTCTGCGAGCTGGTCAACGGTGGCGGCAAGATTTGGGTCACGGGCACGACCCTCGAGGGCAACACCGCCGCCATCCGCGTAATGACCGGTAACTTCTCAACACACCCCGAGCACGTCGACGGTGCGAGCAAAATCTTTGTCGAGACTGCCGAGAAAGTGCTGGCCGAGGAAAAGACCAAGTCGTCCGAAGTTTGAATAAGCAATTCTAAAATATAGAAGGTTAGACAAACATCAGGGTTGCAAAAGAAAGGTGCAAAGGTCTCACATAGAGTCGTACATAGTCACCAATAAATACGCAAATAAATAGCCAAAAAAGAGTCAACAAAACGCCCAGAAAGTCATTTACAAAGTGCGAACAATAAGAATATCCATTTCTCCATGTTCGTTCATGGCCTGTCATTAAAACGGCTGTCGCTGTTGTGTCGAAGGCCTCCTTCCGGCCCGGAACCCAAAACGCCATCAAAGTATCAAAATTGAGGCCTAGAAACAAGATGCAATAAACGAACAGCTCCAAGAGTCTCCGAAGCTCGTGTAAAATCAGATACTCGCTCTCCGAGGCGCCATCGTCCGCCGCAGCGCCTTCTTCTCCTCCGTCTCCTCCATCAACGGAAGACGGCCATCATCACGCAACTTCTGCAGGAAATCCTGTCCATAATGGTAGCCGACTTGCACAATCTCGTCAAACTTTCCAAACTCAAGCGTGCCGTAGTCGTCAATCGGGGGCCGCATGTAGAGACAGCCGGGAAGTGTCTTTGCCCGCTCCAGGGCGTCGACGCTGGACACGTACGCGAGGCGTGCCTGGATCTCGGCCAACGTCGGCGGGTTGGGCGTCGCCGACAGGGGGTTCCACCGGTTGACGAATGCCCAGAACCCCGACAACGTATCACCAAACGCTTGCGGCGTATCGTCGTCCAGTGCGCCCACGTCGACAGCAAAGATGATGTCCGCTCCGAGATTCTTCATGTGGGACACCGTCAGATTGTCAACATAGCCACCGTCCAGCAGCATGTTGCCTTCGTCACACAGCGGCGGCAGCAAGCCCGCTAGAGACATCGAAGCGCGGACGTAGCGCCAGGCGTAGCCGCTTGTATGGAACTCTGCCCGGCTCTTGCTGATGTTCGTCGTGTTGCAGTAGTATTCGAGCCAGAAGTCCTCGATCTGTGCCTTGCCAAACGACTTGTAGATGCCGCGGTTGAACTCGTGGCCGGTCGTGTACGACGCGGACGGGTATGTCAAGTCCAGCGCAAAGCGCCAAACACTCGCCATACGGCCCGCGAACTTCTTGGACAGACCAAAGATGGGTACCACGTCGGCATGCCGGGCGTAGAGGGCACCGACAAATGCGCCCATCGATGTTCCACCAATCATATCAATTGGAATGCCAGCATCCTCCAACGCACGAATGATGCCAATCTGCGCGAGACCGCGAGCACCACCGCCGCCAAGAACCAAGCCAATAGATTTCCCGCAGAGGCGCCGTGCCAGACGATGGAAATCGTCCTTGAATGGGGCATCCGGGGAATAGAAGGGTCTGCGCCGCACCTTTCGGGAGGTGTACTTTTGAATCTCGGCCTGTATGATCTGGACCCTCTCCTTGAGGCTAGGCCCTAGTCGTTTGGGTGGCTGATGAATCGGCACCGCTTGGGAAACGAACGGCATCTGCACGTGATAATGGCCACCATTGATCCACACGCGATTCTTCAACCACGATCGAGTCGTGCCTGAGGCCGAATAGCGCTCCGCGTGGAGGAGCACCAGCAGCTTCCTTGCCGTCGACTTCATGCCCAGCATGAACCGCTCGTATTCGCCAATCTCCGACGAGCCTTCTGCGAGACCAACGAGAAGAATGCAATCAGCTTGTGTGATGCAGGTCTGTGTCCAAGGCGAGTTGACACTGGTGTCTGATGATGGTACCATCACAGTTAGCATGGGAACAGAAACCATAGTTTGCAAGTCAAAAAGGATTCAAGTGAGACAAAATGCAAAGAGTCAGGAAAAAATTAGAGTTTAGTTAGCCATCATCGACGGCCGAAGCTCGCCTATGGGACTGAGTTTCTCTCATCATTCAATGCAGACAGAGTTGGACGCTTCCAGAAAACAGAAAATGCAAAACAAAATGATAACAACGCAAAGTTGTCTTACCTGCAACATAGACGACGAGGCTGTATTTTTCTTCCAGGTCCGCAAGATACTGCGAAAGCCTTAGCTTGCCCATCTTGTTGAAAGCGTGCTTTCCCAAGTGGTTCAGAATGGCGGCTTGGTTGAGCGATGTTGCTCCATTGGGCGTTCCCACTTGGCTAAGGGCATTCATAAGTTTGTCACCAAACTCCACAATTGGAACACCCGCGGTGACGGGAAGGACCGCAACCGTCCGTAAATTGTCAGTGGAGGAGCCCTTCTCGATGGAGTTTGTCGCCTTGCCGTCCATGAGACTGAGGGCGGCATTGGGATTCTCCATGAGATTTCGCATGCGGGACGCAATGATCTTTGAAATCTTGATCGTGATGTTGGGGTGCTCCTGTGCCAGGCTGTTGAACAAAGTCCGGGGAAATTTTACCAGTTCCGTGTCTCGAATGGCATGCAGGGTTCCGGAACGAGAGGATTCGGTGAGCACCTCAAGCTCGCCAACACTCTCGCCCTGGCCGAACTCGGCCAGGACGCCAACCCGCCCCTCCTTCCGGTCATTAACCAAGCGCAACCGGCCGTTAAGAACGATGTAGATGGCCTCGCTTTCTTCATTCTTGTGGAAGATGACTTGGCCGGCATTGACCTGCAACCACTCCAGAGCAAAGTCAATATGCAGGATCAGCCGGGGCAATATATTCGTGAGGCGCTTTGCCATTGTAAGGAGGACAATGGGATACCGGTCCACAATGCGCTCAAGCGACGCGCGAGGCAAGAAGCCAACATACACATCTGTCTTCGCAACGACATCGATGAACGACCGATATGAAGAGACGGTGCCAATGTAACCAGCAAGACCACCAGGTTTAATGAGGCCGACGCTTCGACGAGCTGACTTGGCCTTCTTTCTGCCTGTCGGTTTGGCGGTTCCGTTCTGTGTGCTTGAAGAGGAGGATGTAGACTGAGACTCGGTTGCTTTGGCCGACTGTATGATGTCGCCAGACGTGGGAGCTCCAGCGGGCATGCAGACGTCAAGAAACCCGTCAATGACATAGTAGAGACCAGGATTGCGTTCCCCTTGCTCCACAAGGACTGAGTCCTTGGGGAAAAAGACAATCTCGACCTCATCCAACATATCGTGCGCCAGGCTCTGGACGCTAGGAGGGGTGTTCGCAGTCGCACCGGAGGTCATCGAGTCAGCATCACCATCGGCAGAACCGCCGAACGGATCCATAAATCCAAAGGCATTGGAACTGTAGGTTCTCTGGCGGAAGTTCTCGTACGATCCAAGTCGAGGAGACGCCTCAATCGACTCGGCCTCCCTAGGTGTAGCCGTGCTGGAGTTGAGACCAATGGCTTTGAACATGCACTCGAGGACAGACTCTCGGAAAACATTCTCTTCGTCCAGGCCTTCCCGCGAGTCGATGGACATACGGTTCTGTTTCTGCGTCGCAAAAGGATTGAATGATCTCTGGGCCAGTGGCGACATTGCCAAGTTGGCATCGAGTTGGAAAGGGTCAGAGCCAAATGGTGAATCAGCCAAGGAAGGAAGAGAGTCTGCGGCGAGGTCAACGTTTCCGGAGGTCACACCCAGCGACGTATTAGCGAGAAGATCCCCAGGCTTGTTGCTCGACTGAGAGTTGTGGTCCTGTGGGCGAAGACTGAATGACGTGGCCGAGGAAGAAGGCCGCTGTCGGGCCAGCGAGTGCAGGGCGGCCTCCTTGCGCAGGGTCGTCGTTGATCTCTTGCGGCGACCCGTGGCAGGATTGTGCAGAGCGATGCCCTTGTCTGTCTCGTCTTCGCCGATCCGTTCGCGTTCTCGGTGGAATTTCTCCTTCAGGCGCTCCAAGGCATCTCCACGTAAGAAGTTGGGCAACTGGCGCATGGTGTATTTGATCATGTTTTCTTCCGTCTGCAAGACCTCTTCCGAGAGCCCTAGGTAGTTGTACGCGGTGGCGAGCGTTACACGCTGGAAGCGGGACAAGATCACATGCACGATATGCGATGTGGCTTTGGGGTAGATGCGAATGAGACGGCGGAAGGCGCTTGCTGGAATAATAGCAATCGTCGTGTCCACGGTGGCCCGAGCAATGATATCCGGGTGGACCGAGTTGGTCGCTGTCCGTCGCGGTACCGGTCGTTGGGGGCGAGGAGGGTCGCGAAGAGGATCCAAGGTCATTGGGGGAACACGCGGGAGACGGGAACTAGCCGATTGCTGGGCGGACGCATCTACTGTCTCCATCGGCTCAGCAGTTGTGCCGTCTGTACCATATGCAGACGTCTTTGGAAACGGGGTGTGCGAATCGTGTGATCCCCGGAACTTCGCGCTGGCCGGGGGACGAGGTACGTTTGAACGACCGCCCATGGCAGGGGTCGCTGGTGTGCTGTCGTCTTCAACGCGCAGGTTGATGTCCTCGGTGAAGAGGGACATCAGAGAGAAGAGAGACGACATAGGAGCGCCATTCCGAACCTCTGTGAGGAGCTGGTACCGCTGGTTTCCATGAGCGAGAGGCTCCTCGTCGTCGTCACTCGAGGCGGTCTCCAAGAAGGGTCCGCGGCGTGAGTCGACGTTGGCGTTGTGGTGGTGTCCGTGGCTCGACGACTTGACAAAGATCTCGACTAGCCCGTCGACCACGATACAGAATCCTTTCTCTTCTTCAAGGTCCAGAGTCTCGCCTGCGATGAGCTTCCGCGTCATCATGCTGCGGGTGAGCTCATGGAACACGGGCCGCTCGAGGTAGCCAAAAATCTTAATGGCACTAAGAAACTCGTCCAGGTAGTTTGAGAGGCCCGACTTGATACCCTCCTCGTGCGTGTCAGGAAACAAGTCAATGTCCGGCTCTTTGCGCTGCGGCTCTGGCGGAAGACGCGCGTACATGTTGAGGTAGCGGTACCGCACAAACCAGCTGGCCGTAGAGAAAAAAGCAGCAAAAATAACCATCCTGAACTTGACGTTAGAACACACAGCAATGAAACGGCTCGCAGAGATGAGGAGGAGGGTGAGCAGGGGACGTACAAAGTCGTGGCATTCATAGTCACGGTGAGGGTCGTCGAGAACAGCGTGAAGAGCAGTGTAGGCAGCGAAAACGTGGCCAACTTGATCACGAAATACAAGATGACAGAGACGACATGAAGGATCGACAAGACCAGCCTCGCAAAGAGGCCGACCCACGACCAGGAGCCATGGGTGGCCGCGACATCATGGGCAGTCGAAACCACAGACGACAGGGCCGCCTGCGGACCGCCAGCACCAGCCGACAAGCTTTTTGCCAGGGCGACGCTGAGGGAGGCAGCAGCATCAGCAGCCGTGCTGGTGCCGCTGACAATAGTGGAGGTGTCGAGGGAAACCATCCTTTCGGCTGCAGAGCTCATGCAGCGGGTGAAGAGGTCTGCATTGTGGGTGGGCGGCGCGTCGGGCTCAGGGCCAAAGAGCTACCGTCGAGTTTTATGGCCTCCCGTTGGATGTGCAAGCCGCGTGGGAGGCCAAGCGGTCGACGAGGGGTGGTTGGGAGGGGAACAGTGAGGGGATTAAAGAGGAGCGCGTGTTGTGAAAAAGAGATGAAAGAAGACGAGAGACGGAGGGGAGTGAAGAAGTGACGGATGAAGTGAAAACGGAAGGAGGAGAGGAATGGGAAGCTGTTTGGGGAAAAACTAAGCTTTTCATCTCCCCTGCTCATATGACGCCCGCCGTTGAATCAAAACGGAAAGAGCAGGTGGATCTCGTGAGTTACATAAGCCAGCGAACCTGGATGCTATGGAGCCCCTATGGCCTGTTCCTGACGGCCCTGCTTCGGCTTGCAATTACAAAGGTCGCACCTGCACACATGCCAAAGCCAGCCGCATCCGGGTCGGACTTTCTATTGATCCAGTGCAGGCGCAAAATAAGGGCTACCACGACTCAGTGCCTGCCCAACCCCCACTAGTCGCCTGCTGCATTTGGAAAATACTTTGCCATCGGCACGCTTTGCTATGACTGGAGGCAAGAACGACTCGCAACAGCGCCGTAACTGCTTTGCCAACTGTTTCGCCGCCCTATTGTATAACTCTTTGTGCTCTGCAGCAAATCACTTCTTTCCTTTTCAGTAATTTTGCAGATTTTGCAGCGCAAACTGTACTTTCCGTAGACGTCGCGCCATATAAAGCGCTGGCCCTAGCAGCAGCCAACTGGTCTGGCCTCTGACAGCAAACAAGCTTAGGCTCCATAAACTGCAAAGTCCGACCACTACGCACCCCCAAGGCCAAGACCCAGCACCTTCATTTGCCCCGCCTGTATATTTTTTTTCGCTCCTTTTGTCTTTTGCTCTGCAACGCCACGATCAACCGCGAAGACGAGAACGCCCCTCCAGAGCCACCTCCCAATACAACATCCCGACGTCTCTCGATCGCACCGTTTTTGCCGCATCCACTGTGCCGTCGCAGATCGAATACGCAGATTCTGTCTTATTTTGTTGGCCCCTACACAACGCATATAGGCAGCGGCGACACACCCAACCGCCACGATGTCGTACAGCAACTGCAGATTTTACGAGGGTTCGTTGTCCCCCCTCTGACGTCCTTGACGCCCCGGTCATATCGGCCTCACATGGGCAGGGACGGACTTGCTGGTCGGTGGAACTGGTCGGTGGTACTGGCTTGCTAACAATGGTCGCGCGCGCACAGAGAAGTATCCGGAGATTGACAGCTATGTCATGGTCAACGTGCGCCAGATCGCCGACATGGGCGCGTACGTGAAGCTGCTCGAGTACGACGACATCGACGGCATGATCCTGCTCTCGGAGCTGTCGAGACGGCGAATTCGCAGTATCCAGAAGCTCATCCGCGTGGGCCGCAACGAGTGCGTGGTGGTGCTGCGTGTGGACAAGGAGAAGGGCTACATTGATCTGTCGAAGCGCCGGGTGTCGACGGAGGACGTCAAGAAGTGCGAGGAGCGGTACAACAAGAGCAAGATGGTGCACTCGATCCTGCGGCACGTGGCCGAGAAGACGCTGACGCCAATCGAGTCGCTGTACGAGGCCATTGGCTGGCCGCTGAACAAGCAGTACGGCCACTCCCTGGACGCCTTCAAGCTGTCGATTACGTGAGTCTTGTCTTGGCCCCGACATGGTCCTGGCCTGTGCCAGGCATCCTGCCATAACTCCAAGCCCAAAGGATTTTGTCCGTGGACGTTTGCTAATTGTACACAGCAACCCGGATGTCTGGAAGGACATTACGTTCCCCAGCGCGGTCGTCGAGGAGGAGCTCAAGTCGTACATTGGCAAGCGGTTAACACCGCAGCCGACAAAAGTGCGTGCCGACGTGGAGGTGACGTGTTTCTCGTACGAGGGCATCGAGGCGATCAAGAAGGCGCTGCGCACGGCCGAGGCCGACAACACGGAAGACAACAAGGTCAAGGTGCGGCTAGTATCGCCGCCGCTGTACGTTCTGACGAGCACGTGCCTGGACAAGAACACGGGCATCAGCCGGTTGACAAAGGCGATCGAGGACGTGCGCTCGGTCATTGAGGCGTCGGGCGGCAAGCTGGTGGTCAAGATGGAGCCGAAGGCAGTCACCGAAAGCGACGATGCCGAGCTCCAGGCGCTCATGGAGAAGCGCGAGCGCGAGAACGCCGAGGTCAGCGGCGACGACAGCCAGAGCGAGAGCGACGACCTGCCAGAGGTTGCATGAGGGACGAACACATGACTGTGTTCGTTTCTCGTATGCTTTCTTTGTGTACAACGATTTTCGTCTTGTCCTTCTCTTTTCCTTTGTTTTGAAATTCCCAACAAGCAAAAACGACGATGCATGCACGGAGATGGATACGAAGGAAGATAAAAGTGAGGATCTACAGGGCAATTGGGGACTTACCAACGGGAAAAACTGGTGTTTAGACAAAACTTTCACCATCCGATACGTTTATTTTTTTTATCTGCCTAGTTCTTTCTGCATATCCAGCCCGAGTCTGTTTGCTTTTTGTGGCTGGTTTCATGAAGGGAGCGGGGGCATATCGCCGGACGGGACATGGAAAGGCAACAAGTTCATGGAGATATGAGGGAGCTACAGTATGGCCACCGGTGACGAGGATATGTTGTAAAAGCTGTTTAAGCTGCCGTTGACTTCATTATCCTTTTTACAGGCGAGTCAAATGCGTATCAGGGGCTTTTGACAATGAGGCTTTACTGAGCCGCTCTTTATATAAAGAAAAAATAGCAATAAGAACGAAAACCTGAACATAGCAATCGGAGGTTGGCTTTTTACAGAAGTCGGACGATGTTTGTTCTCGCTGTCGTGGTTGTCGCGTGCTCGTCGATTTGCATGAGTCGGGTTTATGTGGAAAGCGGGGCGTGGTGCTGTGCCTTTTTAGCTCCAGCGAATGCCGTGAAAGGGAATCACCACACCTCACCTCACCTCACCTCACTTCGCAACACCACGTCAGCCCTCCATGACCGGCGTCTTATAGCAGCGCGTGACGTTGTAGATCGACTACCGAAATGGTACTCCGCTCGCTGTGGATGCGCATGCGGACCGGCCGAGCAGCCTTTTCGACGTCGGCACTGGCAGCTGCGTCTGCCTCGACAAAGGAATCAATACCACCGCCGCCGGGCCGGTCGGCTTTTGCGCGCCAGTTTGTGTTCCGCCTGCTCGGCCTGGCGACCTGGCTGCCAGTGGCCATTTGGTTCAATACGACGGTCGCCGAGGTCACGCGCATCGAGGGCCCGTCCATGTACCCCTTCCTCAACAGCCGGTTCAACGAGTCGCTCCAGCGTGACTGGGTGGTGAACCGCAAGCTGTACGCCCAGGAAGGACTGCAGCGGGGCATGATTGTTTTCTTAAAGTGAGCACTCTCCGTTGCTTTGGACTGTCCATGGACACCAATTGCCAATTGCCGACTAACAAAACTACCGAACAAGGAGCCCATATCATCCCGAAGTGGTGTCGGTCAAGCGCATCATTGGCCTCGAAGGCGACGTCGTACAGACGCGCAAGCCGTACCCCACGGCTTACGTGCGCATCCCGGCTGGGCATATGTGGGTAGAAGGCGACGCGGGCGTGGGCAAGAGTCTCGACAGCAACACCTACGGCCCTGTGTCGATTGGCCTGATCACCGGCCAGCTGACGCACGTGCTGCTGCCGTTTGACAAGGCGGGCCGCGTGAAGTGGTGGGAGTATCCCGTTGACGACCGGATATCGGCTACACCGGGATTTTAGATTAGACAGTTTTTGCGACTTGTGCTCGCAACGTTTGCATCACAGACGCTCTTCTGCTTGAAATAGAGCTGCCTTTGGCGTTTTGGGAGTTCACGAATTTAGGCAGCTGGGGCAAACCTGCGGCCTGTAGAATATAAACATCCACTATCTGTCATCCTGTTTAAAGTCCATTGGGGTGTACAAATCATGCAATGAGTGAATAGACAAAAACCTATAACTATACATGCCGTTTTGTGCTTGTTACGTTCGTATATCACGAAGCTCACTGAGGGGCATTTTCTTACATAAGCACACTGCATACTGCACAGGTTTGGCCCAGCCGCTAATCTTTGGTGAGTATGCCCCTGTACTGACGATATTCCAGAACCTTTGCGCCGGCCAGGAACACCAAATGCTAACTGTATTTTGATTGGCGGCGGCACAGAGGCCGGGTCTGTTGGGGCATTTTGGTAGGGCGGGAAGCCAAGGCATTAAAAAACGGCCCTGGAAAAATAAGCAAGAAATAATTCGTACCGAGCACCAAGAAAAAAAATTGGCGACCGTTAGTGGCAAAGGGAAGGCGCACCCGTGCATCCAGGCAGCATCTGCTCCTTCCGCTCCTTCCCTCATCTCTCTGACCGCCTGCCACGCCTCGGACGACCTGTCACGACTTCCACAACCGCTCCTGACACATCCGAGACGCTGCGGTCTACCACCTGTCAATTGTCCGAGCCAACCCGAGCACCGCAGCGCTCACACCACGCGACCGGGTTGTCTAGTCTGTGATACGTCTCTAGAGGCCGGAAGAGAAATATTCTCGGGCACCACCATCAACTCGTTTTTCATGCCCACAGACGGCGCCGTCAGGCTTCCGACGACTGCGCCCGCAAACTCGTCTCGTCAATCACCATCCATTCCAATCGATCTCACCAACACCATTTCCTCCTCGTCTGCACTCGACCATGGATTGCGGCCGGCGACTGGCCAACTGACGGACTCAATCGATGCGCTGGGCCGCTCCCACGCGGCACGACAAGCAACCATGGTCGCAGGTGGCGACGAGGGCCTCGAGGGGCGGCCGCCCTATTTCCATGTAAGATAATGGCTATGATTCTCTCTCGTTTCTCGTTCTGCCTAGATCATGGCTAACAGCGTTGCTCCAGTCCATGCTCGCCGGTGGCCTCGGC